TCGCATTTCACCTTCATTTCCCAAAACCAACATTCTTGCAAGTAAGGCAATCTTGAAATCCAAACATTTTGAATATTCTCTCCACCAAAACCAAAAAAAAAACTCGAATCTTTGTAGCACTTCAAATCAAGTAATTAGTTAAAACCTTAAAATTAAGCCACTTTCAGAAAGAAAAAAATATATAAATCAAACTTTTTACCAAATATTAACAACACAGAAGCTAATTAATTAATTCACATTTTTCACTACGGCAAAGCAAAAGTTCAATCAAGTAAGAATTACCCATTGCCAAATTTTTACCCAAAAGATTCAAACTTTTACCCACAAAGTCACTAAACCAGTAAATCTAAAAATACCCACGTCACCATTTACTATCCAAGAACAAAAAAAAAAAAAAAATTGACGTGCCACATGCTGATCGGGATTGAGGCCGATACAATTGGAGAGGAAGAAATACGACCCGGTTTCTCTCGAAATAGCGGGCTGGATCCTGGCAATGGGCTCGGCGACAGAACGGAACTCCAAAGTTCCGACGCAGGTGGAGGCCAGCAACGGTGTAAACACCATGTGGTTCCTCTGCGACACACAAACGATGTCATATTGCACGATGTCATATTGCTCGGTGTCCAGACCTTTCATGAGCCAGCACCCGGCCCAGCCTGAGCCCAGGACCACCACCCGCAGCTTGTCACCGGGCATTGTGGGGCCCAGACCTGAGTAAAAGGTCGGCTGTTGATGGGTTGGAGTCGGAGCCGGAGCTGGAGTCTCATTGGTCGGACTCGAGTGAGCCGGCTCAGTGCTGAAGTGGGAGAGCAGAGTGTAGGAAAACTGGTCAGAAATTCTGGGTCAGGCCGATGATCTGGCGGTGGTGGCTGAGACTTGGATGAGTCTTCTGAACCAAGACATTGCGTTCTGAAGTGTTACGACCTAGATTAGTGGTAGTTAAAGCAGAGAGTGGCCCTGCAGCACAAATTTGTGTAAGCTTGAAGAAGGTGGAGAAAGTTCCAACAATTTGGTGTCGTTTTCTGCAGCTATGATGAATTTGTCGCATATCGTTTTCACGGGGACTTCGTCAGGTAGCAGTTTAGGATCTTGATGAACAGAATGTAGAAAAGTTGATCGAAATGTCAAATCAGTTAGGTATGAGTTAGGCAGTTAAGCATGAGTAAGAGTTTAGGTTTAGAGACAGAGATAAGACAAGATGATTAATCAACATGCCTAAACTTTCACATGAACTTGCCAACACAATCACCAACAAACGTCTAATCAATTGATTGGCAACATCTTCAAACCCAATTGATTGTTGTGTTATAGCATTAAAGGTTATCAGCCTCCCAATATAAGTGACAAATTAAACTAAAATAAAAGACAAAAAAATATTCGGTACAAGTGATATGAGAGGCCAGTGTTTAACTTAACTAAAAGCCGGCATTTTGAGAGACTAGTGTTTATATGTTTATATAAGGTATTTAGTAACAGATATGAGAAAAATTTTGTTGAATCAGAAAAAAGAAGTTACAACTAGTTAAGGAGGGGACATAAAACTTACGTTATGCCTGGGGGGACGCAATTCCTATAGGATGTGGAGAATAGAAATTTGACATTGAGGAGATGCAAGTGGTAAAGATCCCAAAAGACTAAATGAATGATTCTGACCGCATGGAATGCCCTTCCTTGTCAGCACATGCCAATTCCCAGTACCCTGAATTTGACACTATATTTGCAATAGTTGCTGCAGCCAATTCTTTGAGTTCCGGTAAAGTATGCTGGTTTATAAAAAGGATATCTGTAAGAGTGGGAAGTACAGCAGAATCAACGAGGATGATTGCATTGTCATTTAGACATGAAAAGTTGTACAATGCTTAAATGCTTGCTGCTCTTCCTTCTGGCTTAGATAGCATCTCAAACAGTATTTTCAGCACTTTGCCTGGCTGTTTGTGCCGTGCTGCTATTTGTCAAGGTCATACTTCCTACCAAAGAAGCCATTTCAATTTTGGCACCGTCGGAACCTGTTGCCAAAAAAAATTTAGATTCCATACTAACATGCAAAAATAAAATCACAACATACACCCCAATCCGTAGTTTAAAAAAAGGTGGATCCTTCCAGCTCTCCTGTTTTCTTATTCCATTTACTTTGTACTGAAAACTTGCAAAATTGAATTTCCAAATGTAATCCATGACAAGGTAATGATTTTCAGATTGAAAAACAAAAGTTAGTACAAGACAAACCTTCACAAAGTCGAGTAAGCAATGGTTCAAATCTCCCGGCCGCAGCCAAATACTGAACCTTATCCTCCACCTTCTCCATCCGCTTTAGTACCTCAGCCAATTTGGATAAACCAGGATACTCGATGTTTCCCGCCATATTTAAGAGAAGAACCAGTGAGCCTTTCTCTGATGCACTTTTAATGCAACAAGCTTCATCACTAGAGAACTCAAGTAACAGTTTCACAGCATACTCACTCTCTTTCTCTGAGCTCCTGGTAAGACTGTATGGTCAATCTAGTGATACCCTCTTGTAGCATGATTTTCTAAAAAGGTTTGACACATTCTATCAGAAATTAGTCAACATCTGAGACACCCGAAAGGGCCAACTAGAAACAAAAATCAACGTACCATACTGTGGAAAAGAAATGGAAGTTCTACACTATCAAAAGAAACTGCAATTTCAAACTTCAAATTTTCCACACAGAGCAAAAGCTTCAGCATGCAGAGTGTAACTTGATTGAAAAATACAAATAATTCAGCATGAAGAGTATAACTTGACAAAAAACCCAAATAAAACCGTGATAAAGTGATAAACCCACCTTGCTTTCTTCATCCTTGGCCATGCTAAGCAAATCCATTAGAGCTTTGCTCCTCAAATATGTCCCAATACTCTGGGAACTGTTCCTGAGCATCTTAACAACAAGAACAAGAATGCCACCATTCCTAACTCTATACGACAATTCGGATACCCCTCCCAGATGTTATACACATTATCCAGCACTTCCTCCACACAATCCACCACCGGAGGCTCTTTGCTCAGCTGCTTTTCACCACAATCTCAACATTCCTATTGACCCACTCCTCAATAGCTCCGGCCAATCCAATATTCGGCTTCACCTTCAGCTACCCGAGAACTTGACCCGTGACCGGACAAGTCAGGTCACGCCAGTCTTCCAAACACCGCTCGAACCAGTAATTAATGACGGTCCGCTCGTACGTCTGCGACGACTGGAGCACTACCGGGTCCCGCATCACCTCCTTCGTCAGCGGACAGAGAAAGTTCTTAAACGGCTGAATATGAACGTCTTCTTCGAACTCCATTCCCGTCTTTCAAGCGGAGATACTGGGCTGCCGCACGGCCCAGTTGTCGAGAACCCTCTCCAACGACAACAGAATCCGCCGTTCCGACGCCAAATTGTACCATGCGACGTCGTTTTGAGAAGCCTGATCTGCTTGGAGAGCTCCTCGTGATTCTCAGTGTCGATCCCCAGCGCTCGGACTAAGTCCATGGCTATCGCGCTCTCCACTGCTTTGCTGGTCTTCGATCAGAGTGTGATGAACTCGTTCTTGCTTCTCCGTAACCTAAAATCCGATTCAAAATCCCAAATATTCAAAATTCGTATTCAAAGATTCGAATCAAAGATGAACTGAAGTGACGTCACCACTCACTGTGAAGTAAGCTTGCTTCATGCCTCTGGAGAGATCAAGTTGAGGTCCTGAATAGGGCGTCGAGGAGGGCGAGCCAGGCAGAGATGGCGACTGTGCGGTCACGGAGGGAGAGGCAGTTGATGAGGACGGAGATTTTGCCCTTGGTTCTATAGAACGACAGAGTTTCGAGTGCGGAGGCGAGGTCGGCGGAGATGCCCTTGAGGGCGGTGCGGAGGGAGCCGAACGATGACGTGGCGCGGGTCAGGTGGGTGAGTGACAGCTGGAGGCGTTCAGCAAAGCCGGGGAAGCGGCGGGGGAGGTCGAAGGCTGAGTGGCGGTAGTGATCGGCGCAGATGTCAGCGAGCGAGGTGCAGATTGAGTCTAGTGCCGACCAGACGAAGGACGACGATGATGACGTCATTGCAAAAGATTTTTCACCTTCCCCGCCGTACCGCGGTAAGAGAGGAGCAGGCGCCAAAGAGCAAAGAGGGAAGTGTTGGAAGTTATTAACAGTCGTATTAAGTTTTGCTAAACATTGCTTGGTGGCGACGTGTATCAACATCTAATCACGTATTATCACGCAAATTTAAGATTGGACAAATTAGTTAATACGCATATTAAATTAAGCTCAAACCCAAATATTTAAATCACTAAAATCCAGAATATGGCTTTGTGAACTGTGAATGTCACCAATTTTTCAAACCTAAATTTCATGACTTAAGATATATTAATTATTGCGGAAAGATTTTAACCCTATTATTTTTTCAGTAAGGATTTTTTTATGTACCATTGAGTTATATTATCTTAATTTTAGTGAATGCTTAAACCTAAGTTTAATTTATGACAAAATTTTCAAAACTGAACAAATCACGTTAGTCAACCGTTGAACCAACCAAACTTCAATATACACTAATCAATCAAACTTTTATACATACATTAAATTTGTTTTTTATTGTTTGACCATGGAATTTAAATTTCAGTCATTCGATCTTCTTTTCAACCATTGGATTTGACAAAATTAATATTGAAGGATCCCGCAAGGGAACTAATTTCTAGGGAAAACTAATGAAAAGAGGTTTAAAAACTTTGAGTTTTAACGAAAATGACAAAATAAAAGGTAAAGTGAATAGTATCAAGATTGATTTTTTAATATAAAAATATGATTTTTCATTAAAATGAATAGTACCAAAAACTTTTCGTTAAAACTTTATATTCCTAATTTTGTTAGATGGTCGAGACATAATTGACCATCAATGTGCTAGTTATGGGCCAAGAAGCCCAAATGTATTTGAGTTACGCAAGAGGAAATGAGCCCAAATTCTCCAAAGGCCCAAATAATATTATCCCCTACCTACCAGTTGAGTCGATCAAAGAAGGCTGAACAGAACCATCTTCGTCTCCAACTGTCTCTCTACCCACTTTCTGTAGACTGCAGCAATGGACCGAGCACAGCTTGTTCTGCTAGGGCTACCACTCTTCCTCTTCTGCACCGACCTCCTAAACCTCTTTACTCCGCCCCCACCTCCGCCCCACAAGCCTCCTCACCACCACCATCCCCACCTCCAACACCAGCCTCCTCCAGTCGCCAAAGAAACCTTAGACTTACCCTCACAGGTATTTCACTCTGAATTCCTCTTCACTTTCCATAATTTATTGCAATTGATTCCATATTTTCTTCGTATTATAATTTCCCTCTGTGTTTCTTTGGTTTTTATCGGATTTCAGAAACCAAGCGGTTTTGGGGCAATCGGCGTCGGCAGCACGGTCAAAATTAGCTTCTGCACTTCTTGCTCTTACAAGTACTTCTCTTACTTCTTTTGTGATTTATTGAATTGGGTTTTTAATTTTATTTCGAATTGTGATGTGGGATGATAGAAGATCAATTTGAACAGTTATTCAATAGAAATTGAAGTGTTATTGGGGTCCTGGGATTTATCAGTTAAGCCGTAAAATGCTCTTGATTTTATCTGTTAGCTCCCGATTAGTGTTCCGATAAGGATGTGGTTTTCTACTTGTTTTGCTCTGAACATGTTAGAGTGGATCCTTGGGATTGGACTATATTTACTTATCGAAAGAATTGGCATTTGGTAGGGGGAATGCAGTAACAATGACGAAGATGTTGGAGGCCGCTTTTCCTGGAATCCATGTTGATCTTTCGAACTATCCTCCGCCCCTTCCAAAGCGTGTGGTCAGCAAGCTGGTTCCAGTTGCTCAAGTTGGAGTTTTTGGGATTGTAATGGCTGGCGAGCATATTTTTCCGATGTTGGGGTTTGCGACACCTCCTGCTTGGTATTATTCTCTGCGTGCAAATAGATTTGGTACCATTGCATCCACTTTGCTTCTTGGCAATGCATTGCAGTCCTTCCTCCAAGGCACTGGTGCTTTCGAAGTTTACCTCAACGATGAATTGGTGAGCGAACCCTTTTTTCTTTGGCCATATGTTTTCTGGGAGCTAGATTACCATTCCTATTTGCTTAAGTCTACTTCTTTCTCCTTTGGCCATATGATTGAGTGTTAGCTTATGTTCTCATGTATGTTGCAGGTTTTCTCTAAGCTGAAGGAGGGAAGATTTCCGGGCGAGCTTGAACTAAGAGATGCCATTGCGAGTAAGTTGGGTAGTTCAAGAATCACAGACTCAGCGTTATGATCTTAGTCTACTAGCTGGGTTTGGAAAGCCCAAATGCTTGCAGTTGGAGTTTCAAGCTTGCACACTGGCTCGCTTACTTGCTTGGTAGGTTCAAAGGCTTCGAAGTTTTAATAAATTTGTTACCCATCACTGTTATACAGAGTAGAGACACCAATAGAATGTTTTGCTGATAGGTTTTGAACGACAATCTGATTCTGCATGTTATCTGAGATCGGCATCGATTGGGTTAAAACAGATTTTGACTCTATTAAGCATGCTAATATAGTTTCATTTCACGGAATACAGTGCCCGTATCTACTCAAAGTATAATTGTTCCTGGATTTAGTTTTTCATATTGAGTGTATGAGTATGTTTTTTTGTGTACCTGATCATGTACCGGCTCTAGTTACGCTCTGCATACCGGAACTGCCTCGGATGGAAATGGAATTTGAATGTGCATTTCAATTTTCTTGAGTTTATGGAGGTGTTTTGGAAATGTAATGCATGTTTTCATTTGTTCAAAACTTCCAACCCAAGGGAAATGGTGATGCCAGTTTATGCTTCATATCAAGAAATAGCCGAAGATGGTGGTTATATTGCCAATTGAACTGCAATGTGACCAAATTTCAGTAGAGTTTCAAGTTGGAACTTTACGTACTTGTAAAGAACCTCTACTAACACAGCAGGACGATAATACGACGTGACGACAATGCCGCAGTTCAAGAATCCAAAAGGAAACTAAATCACATTAGTATTCATATAAACAGACACAATATATGTCCTAAAAAGTATAAACAGCAAGAACATCTTCTGTAACCCTTTTGTTCGAAACCGGGAGGCATATGTTGAATCGCCACTGCCACCATCAACCATCCATTGAATCCAATCCTTAACCATAACAGCACTCACCGTCGCCGCATCATCATTGCCACAGCAGTTTGGTCTCGCCTCAATGCCGCCAGCATCACCCAGTTGTAGGATTCATGCCAACGGTGGCAGGCACCTAGTTGTGCCAAAATACGGTGGCACCTACGCCAACAAAAAGGTAATCGAGGTGGGAAAGAGAGCCATATTCGGCTTATGCATGCTTACTTATCGAGTAAATTGTAGATATGGTCCTTTAACTTTAACTCAATTGGAGCAATGGTCCCTCAACTAAAAATCTATTACCATTGATTCCTCAACTTTAATTCAACTGGAGAAATAGTTCATTAATTTTAACCCAATTGTAGTAATGATCCTTCCAAAGTAACTCGTTTTGACAAAATTTTTGACGTAGTTGACGAAAATGATCATAATTACACACTTTGACGAGTTGAGAGACCCTAATTGTATAAATGGTCATTCTAACATAACTTATTTTGTACACATTTTTATAAGTTGAGGGACCAATGATAATGCTTTTTTAATTAAGGAACCATTGCTCCAATTTGATTAAAATTGAATAATCATTGCTACAATTTACTCCTTACTTATCTAAACCTTTGCCGTATCCACTACGCTTCTTCCGAGCCGACAATGGTATCAAGAAAATATGGCAAAGACCATGAAGGCTTGCATCATCACTTATTTATTAATATAGCAAAGATCTTGAATACCATTTTTTTTTAATACAACAATTAGGTTACGCCAATTAAAAAAGCAATTAAAATATGTTATATATGAAGCATTACATAAGCCTTTCTGAATCAAGCATTGAGCAATGTATTGGTCCATTAGCTTTAGCCTTTTCGGCCACCTCCGCCGCCGGACTTGACCCTTGAGGAGGCGAAGGCGGAGGGATCATGCCCACGATTTGCAGTTGGGTCGTCGTAGTCGTTTGTCGTCACCCTCAAAGACCTACCCTCCATCTCCATTGCCATTACCACCTCATCATCTATAGTACGGTAACCAAGCACACCAACAAAGAAAAGAAGAAAATCAGCCTCCAGCAATTAATGTTTACTACATTACACCGATAAATCTACACCTTCTTGACGAATACAAGGATTATACAGGAAACATATCCGTAACACAACTTTTTGTAAATAATTTTTTACGCACTTCTTTGTAGGATTCATTTTGTAATGTATTTTAATGATCTAAACTGTCTATTTTAGATCTTTTCTCAAATATCATGTCTACCAAAAACCATCCAAATCTGAAACAATATGACCTTTGGAATAAGCGTAAGTTTTTTTGTAGAACCAAAACCATTTAGTAGGAAAAGTATTTTTCCATCGATAAAATGAATAACATTACACTTTTGGGTATTTATACAAAAGCTGTCACAGCTAACAGAAAAGAAAACTTCCAAACTAACTAATAAGATTCCTTAACCTCTAAGTATTATCTCTTGTAGGTGTAATTACACTTTTATCCTTAATATCCCCCCTTAAACAAAACTATGGAACTCTCAGTTGAAGTTTGTCTCTCAGAAGCAAGAACCTGGGCTTGGATAGAGACTTGATACAAATATCTTGATCATGTGGACAAACAAAATGCACAGATACTTGGTTTGCCATAACCTTTTCACGAATGTAATGATAATCGATTTCAGCATGCTTGGTCCGAGCATGGAAAATAGGATTCTTTGCTAAGGATATGGCAAAGACATTATCACACCATAACTGTAGAGCAAGGCAGAGGATAAGCAATATCAGCAAGCAATTTGCATAGCCAAGTGATTTCAGCAGCTTCATTTGCAAGAGACCGATATTCAGCTTCTGTTGATGATCTGGCAACAGTGGGTTGCTTTTTAGCACTCTAACTAATTAGTGAGTTGCCAAAAAATATACAGTAACCACTAGTGGATCTTTTATCCAAATAATATGCTACCTAATCGGCGTATGAAAATGCTTGAATAGATGGAGCTTTGGAACACTTGGCGAACCATAAACCATGATCAAGGGAACCCTTGAGATATTTGAGGATGTGTTTAAATGCTTGCATATGTGAAACTCTAAGACTGTGCATGAACTGACAAACCAAATTGACTGCAAAACTAAGATTATGTCATGTCCAGGTTAAATATTGAAGAGCTCCAACTAAAGATCGGTATTCAGAAGCATTTTCAAGAAGATGAGATGAGTGATCAAGCTTGGTTGTACTTAGAGGAGTGCTACAAGGTTTAGCCCCTTTCATTTTTTCTTTTGTCAAGAGATCCAAAATGTACTTTGTTTGAGATATGAAGAAACCTGATGATGATCTTTTGACTTCAATGCCAAGAAGGTATTGAAGAGCACTAAGATCCTTAATGGGGAAAAGAGCACTGAGTTGTGTTATAACTTCTTGACAGGCTGCAGGGGATGAAGCAATTACCAATATGTCATCCACATAGACTAGGATGAATACCAAAGTGGGATATCTCTTCACAAATGGAGAATGATTACTTTGAGAACCTGAGAACCCAAGAGAATGCAAAGCATTATGAAGCTTGTCATACCAAGCACGAGGAGCCTGTTTTAAACCATAGAGTGATCCGTGAAGTTGACAAACATGAGTTAGTTTTGATGGATCTTCAAAGCCAGGTGGCTGTTGCATAAACACTGATTCAGTAAGTAAGTGTATCATGTAGGAAGGCATTACTGATATCTAATTGATTTATGAACTAATCATATTGTGCTGCAAGAGTTAGAATAAGTCTAATGGTCATAGGTTTGGCCACTGGACTAAAGGTTTCAGTATAGTCAAGGCTTTCTTATTGGTGAAACCCTTTAGCAACCAAACGGGCTTTATACCTGTCAATAGAGCCGTCTAGTTTCCTTTTGATCCGAAAAACCGACTTACATCCCATAAGATTGTGAGAAGAGGATGAAGGTACAAAAGACCAAGTACCAGTTTTAGAAGAGCATTAAACTTCTTTTGCATTGTTGTGTGCCAATGAGAGTGTTTAGAAGCTTGTAAGTAGGTTGTAGGTACATAATCAACTACAAAATGAGGATGAATAGGGTGCTTAGTTGCAGTTAAGGCTGTGTGTTTGAAAATTCCAGACTTGGATCTTGTCTGCATTGGGTGGATGTTGATATGAGAGGTAGACTGTGAAAAAGTAAGATGTAATGGAATTGCAGAAGCTGATAAGGTTGCAAGATTTGAGGGATTTGATGTGGGTACAGAATTGGATATGGATAGAGGGCTTGATGAGGTTGCAAGATTTGATGGAGCTGATGTGGTTACTGAATCTGATGTAGATACGGTATGATGAGGAAAAATAGTAAAATTGAGGGATGATAGAATGAGAGATTGGTATAATGGGGAGGTAACAGGATTTGATGGTGAAGGGTGCAAGGTATAAAATGGAAAAGTCAACTCATTGAAGATCACATGCCTTGCTTTTAAGATCCAGTTTTGAAGATGTGTACGACTTTAACCAAGGGGAACAACTGTAATCAAAGACCTTGAGTGACTTATAGTCTGGTACTTTCTTGAAAAGAGACTGCTAAAGAGAAGATTTGGAAATAGTTGGTAATCTGTTGATAAGATAAACTAATGTAGCAAAAGCCTTAACCCAATAATAATGAGGCACCTTAGATGCTATCAAAAGAGTCCGAGCAGTCTCAACTATATGCATGTGCTTACGTTTTGTACACCCATTTTGCTTTGAGGTGTGAGGACAAGTAAGCTGATGTTGACTTCCATAGGTAGCTAAGAATTTAGAGAAGGCAATACTAACAAATTCTCCACTAGAATCAGACCTTAGTGCAGTAATTTTTGTACTCAGAGAATTTAACAAGTAATTTCCATTGCATAAAAGTAGAGAGTACATCAGATTTACACTTTAAGGGATAAAACCAACAATATCGTGTATAGTCATCTATGAAAATGACATAATACCTAAAACCATGGTGAGAAACTGTAGGTGATGATCCCCAGACATCCGTATGGATAAGTTCTAAAAGCTTACTTGTAGTACAAGTAGTACTAGAAAAATGAAGTTTAAAACATTTCCCTAGTGGACAATCTGAGCAAAAAGTCTTATTTGAACCATCAAAAATAGAAATACATGATTGAGATGCCAACTTATTTATGATCTTAACAGAATGGTGGTTCAATCTTTGATGCTAGAGATGCCTTGGAGCTTTGACAGATACAGTGAATGCTTGATGAGAAGTAGCAGGAGATGATGCTGAGTGAAAAGGATAGAATCCATGTTGAACTGGACCTTTAAAAAACAGCATCCCCGAAGAAAGATCATCCAGAGTGGAGAATAGGCAAACCTTTGCCATCTCCGATATACACTTGCTCAGGGCCATTGTATGCTTCTGGATTCTGAAGATTTGCATAAGAATTTGTCATATGCGAGCTTGCACCGAAGTCTACAATCCAGGTAGGTGTAGAATTGAAAGTGTTGGCAACCATAATAGAATGAGAAGATTTTCCATTGTAATTTTGATCTATACGATGAGGACAATCACAAGCTTCATGATCTAGTTGACGACAAATCTGACAAGAGATTTTTTGTTGGAAGAGAAATTGTTGTGAGCTCCGCAATTGAATTTTTGAGTGGTGTTTCAAGAATAGCTATTCATGTCATTGTTGAATCTATAGTTTTCACGAGTCTGATAATTGCCACAATTGGTATTCTGATAATTGCATTCCACATTGCGACCTTGATTCTTGAAATTAGGAACATGCTGAGCAACAAAAGCTTGAGGATTAGGGTTTGCAGGCAAAGAAAGAATACCAACAGAAGAATTATACACCTGAAAAGATGCAGCTGAAATGATTTTCTTCCGATTATTGAGTTGAATCTAATTCATCAATAGTCGTGGATCTAATACGAAACTGAATAGCATCCACAAAAGAGTCAAATTTGGAAGGCAATCCATGAAGAGTGACTGAGATTAGTTCTAAATCTTCAACTGGAACACCAGCACTTGCAAGTGCATCTACGATTTCTTTAATTTGCTGGAGATATTGAGCAACAGTTGATTCACCTTTAACAAGACTGCGATGACGAGATCGAAGCTCATGAATGTGAGATTGAGATGTAGTTACAAGTTGCGATTCCAATTTCACCCAAAGTTCTCGAGCAGAAGTCACGCTAATCGTGTAAAGAATTAGAGATTCAGAAAGAGTTGAATTAATCCAGATAAGAATGTTTTGATCATTCTCAAACCAAGTGACATACGCTGGATTGAGAGTTGCAGTCTGATTCCCTAACAAATCAAGAAGAAATTTGGGCGGCGCCGCCATAGTTTCATCAATGAGACTAGTAAGATTGTAACGACGGAAGATCGAAGCAAACAAAGCACTCCATGTCAGGTAATTTGTAGTTGTGAGCTTGATTGGAACCATGGATCCAATATTTTGGATCGTAATGGAAGAAGACATTGCAGAATTAGGGTTGTGATTACATTAGGAAACGGATAAACAGGAGAATCCAATTCTGAAGAAGGAGATGCAGAGGTCACCATAGCTATAGGTGGAAGAAGAAATCACGATCAAGATCAAGAAATCGATCGATTGATTGGAGAAGATGAAGAAGATTAGGCGGTGCAGAGAGAAACAGGAAAATTGAATCGAAGAGGTGTCGTGAGATTATAGGCGGTTGATACCAGATTAGAAAAAGTATCTTTCCATTGATAAAATGAATAACATTACACTTTGGATATTTATACAAAAGCTATCATAGCTAACAGAAAAGAAAACCTCCAAAACTAACCAAGATTCCTTAACCTCTAAGTATTATCTCTTGTAGCTAGGTGTAATTACATTTTTATCCTTAATTACCATTTACTTCACTACTAATGAATGTTTTAATGGTTTTGAATTTGTCTAATTTTTTGCAAAAATAATCAATAAATGATATTTCAAAAAATAAACAATTCAAATCGTTAAAATACATTATAGAATGGGCCCACAAAGTCTCAATTGGTGTGTGAATACTAGTGTCCATAAGCACAACTAGCAAATATACAAATCATTCGTATATAAAAGAGACAAAACATAATATATATATATATATATATATATATATATATATATATATATATTATGGATGCATGAGATGAGAGTATGAATGCCAAACCCATCTGGTGTTGCACACACTTCCACACCCCCCAACCCAATTGATTCCAAAACGCAGGCAACGGATACCAGACGGTGCTGATCAATGAATAATTAATTCCTAGATTTATATTCTTAATAATATTAATTAGTATATATTAAGGTTCATTGTATATATCGTAACGAGACAAAATATACACAGTATTATAAAATTAATTTCCAACATAATAATTTTCCAATTTCAAACTAAGCAACTCTATCGATTTCTGTAGTTTTTACTTTTTACAGAACTCATTGTGTTCCAAGAACAAGATTGGAAAAGGAGAGCAATTCAATGCCTTTGGAGATGATTGTTTCTATGCATCAGTTGAAGGACCGTAAGAGAAAGACTTGCCTGCAACGCGTTTCACATCCCTTGCTCTTCACGTGATCAATGGAGAACGATGCACAGAGAGAGAGGGTATGAAAATCGACTCGTTGGAGGCAAGTTTTACGCGAACAAGTGGTTGAAGAAGATATAGGTAGAGAGAGAAACATATATCCATACCTGAGAATAGAACGGTGTTCTGAGCAGAAGAAATTACAGCGAAGGCAAGCAAGAGACATACGCACAGCCGAGTACCTCCAAATCCCATCTCTCTGGTTGACTCTGATAATCATACACCAGAAGGATGAATGAACCAATATTGCAGTATTTATAGGTTGAATAATGCCAAACCGATATAGAGCTCGTTTGGATGTGCTTTTAAAATGATTAAAAGCATTTTTAGATAAAATGTTTTTTGGTTCCAAAAGCACTTAAAAGTGCTTTCTGCAAGAAGCACTAGTTGAGTCTTCCAGAAAGCATTGTAAGTGTTTTTTTAGAATTTACTTACATTTTTACTAATAATTGGTTCTAAAAATATTTTTACCAAAAACGCTTTAGTAATTTTAAAAGTACATCTAAACGAGCTCATATTTCTTGGTGTAACCGTAACACCACCACATAACGTTACTTAACTTGTAGCAACGTGTGTTTGTTTTATATTAATATATTTTAAAAGTTGTAAGGAGGGTAAAATGATGGACATAAGTGAGCCACGCCCAGAATTCAAAACTCCTCAAAATAACAAAATATATATCTTTATAATATCGTTTATTATATAACACGTAAAATAATATACATACATACATACATACATACATACATACATATATATAACATATGCTTTCAATACCAGTAGGATCATTGTCCAATCCTCTAATCACATCTGTTCATCGTACATCATGCGATCAGAAATCATTATGAATTTTTTTATTTAAAACTAAATATAAATAGTACCTGACAAAAACTAATCACACGATGTACGATAAATAAATGTAATTGAAGGATCTCCAGAATTCTCACAAAAGAGAATTCAGCAAGGATCCTCTCTCCTTTCAATACACACAAAAACTTTGCATGCTAATAATACTACCATATTAAAAGTTGAGTGCATCTGAAGATGCTGACTTTTAAAAGTTAACGGTGTTGATGTCGATCTCCTCCCTTAATTACCAGATAAGGTAGCCAAGCCATTGCCAGACAGAAGCAGGCCGCGGCTTCCTTTTCTCGTTCAAAAGTTGTAATCATGTGTATTATTTTTTTGCCATTAGCTGTTTCACACACTCTACTCTAGTCTGCATGTACAACGTTTGGTGATAGTATAATACTACCGACACAAATATAATTACTGATATCGTTTCAACTTAATAAGTTTGATTCAAATTTAATGAACTAATCTAAGTAAAATATTTTTTCAAAACAATCTCGATGCAACTACAAGTAAACGTACATTTATATTAATGAAATAAATACTTACATTTTCCTCTTATCTTGCTCTATTTGCATTTCTCACTCATTTGTTGCCATGCGAACTCCATTGTTGTTTAAAGAATTAGATTTTCAACACATTAGATATTGAGTTATAACTTTTAAGTAATACTGGAGTTTATGTGGCAACGGTTGAGTGGAAAAGACAAGTAGGGAAATATAAAAGAAGAAGATAGCTAGCATCCATCTTACTAAAGAACTTGAGCATGGCAAAATAGCCTCCCATTTGGCTCTCCCTCTCTTTCACAAACACGAGAAAAATTATCTTACTACCATTGTATTATAAGTTTTTATCACAAATGGTCTCTGAAATTGACCATCACCATCAAGATGGTCATTGAAATTGAAAATCAATTAATGTAGTCTATGAAAATAGGTGTCGCAAATCAATGTGGTAATTCTGTCACAATTCTGTTAAGTGTTGTTGTGGCACATAAATGGACCCTATAAGTCATTTCTTCTTACAAATGGTCCTTGAAATTGACCCGAGACATTAAAATGATCATTGAAATTGACGCACAACATCAAAATGGTCCCTAAAATTAAAAATTCATCAATATAGTCTAGCAAGTGTCTCAAATCTATGTAGTCATTCCGTCACAATTTTGTGAAAAATTATATATGTGCTGATGCGACAGATAAATGGGTCATACAAGTCTAATTAAATTTATAAAAAAAAATTACAAATAGGCTTAATAATTTAATAGTTAAAAAAAAAGTTGTCAACAAAAAAACCCAATCCTGCAATCACCTCCGATCCTAATTCACATTTCTCTATCTCCTTCGCTCTGTATTCTATATAAAAAAAAATCTCAATATACCCATATTTACACACTTTGACACATTTCACTGGATTGAACCTGGATCGAGATCACATTTGGTGACGGCTTCGCCGATTGGCAACAACTTCTAGGACATCACTGTTAACATTTAGGCGATCAACATCCTCTGTCACATCCGGGCCCGGGGCGGATCACTTCTCGGGCCCGCTCCACCACCGTAACACGATATTGTCCGCTTTGGGCTTACCATTCCCTCACGGTTTTGTTTTTGGGAACTCACGAGCAACTTCCCAGTGGGTCACCCATCATGGGATTGCTCTAGCCCCCTTCTCGCTTAACTTCGAAGTTCCTATGGAACCCGAAGCCAGTGAGCTCCCAAATGGCCTCGTGCTAGGTAGAGATGAGAATATACATATAAGGATCACTCCCCTGGGCGATGTGGGATGTCACAATCCACCCCCCTTAGGGGCCCGACGTCCTCGTCGGCACACCACGGCCAGGGTTAGGCTCGGATACCAAATTATCACATCCCGGCCCCGGGCGGATCACTTCCCGGGCCCGCTTCACCACCGTAGCACGATATTGTCCGCTTTGGGCTTACCATTCCCTCACAGTTTTGTTTTTGGGAACTCACGAGCAACTTCCCAGTGGATCGCCCATCATGGGATTGCTCCCAAAAGGCCTCGTGCTAGGTAAGGATGGGAATATACATATAAGGATCACTCCCCTGGGCGACGTGGGATGTCACATCCTCACATTCTTAATATTGGAGAGCTTGTTTGGTGCTTCCCTAGTGGTCAGGTGATGCAAAGAATATGGAGGTCTGCCTTGAGATAATGAGGTTATACCCAAGGTGCGTCTATTGTTGGTTGAAAACTATTTCTTCGCCCCCTCTTAGGCCTTGGTTAAGTCTTGTGCATTTGAGAATTTATGGAAGGGATCTCTATTTGAAGTAGGCCCTACTATAAGAAAAAAAATTTCATTGTGCAAAAATGCATTTAGACAACTATTTTAATTAATTATTAAATACACATCAGCATATAACAAAAAAAATTACAAAATTGTGGCAGAAGGATCATATTGATTTGCAACATCTATTTTCAAGGACTACATTGATCGATTTTCAATCTCAGGGACCATCTTGATAGTGTGGGTCAATTTCAGAGACCATGTTGATGGTGTGGGTTAATTTTACGAACCATTTGTGATAAAAATTAGTAAATCTAATGGAGCCCATTTATGTGTCACATCAGCACTTAACGGAACTTTTAACAAAATTGTGACGAAATGACCATTTTGATTTGCGACACCTATTTTCAAGGACTACATTCATTGATTTTCAATTTCAAAGACCATGTTGATGGTAAGGGTCAATTTCAAGACCATTTGTGGTAAAAACCCTTGTATTATTCTAGTGGCATTGCAGATGGTATAGATAATTGCCATGTATTAAAATACTATATTATCAATAGTTGTTATGTGATGTCCTCAGTTGAAAGAGAGATTCTCTCTCTAAACTCACAAATTCTTCCTACTTTTTAATTAATTCGACCATACAGTAACAATGGGACAATGTCTTATTGAGCCTACAAGATTCATTCGTTCTTTTTTTCTCTGACAAATGGTCAGAACTTCATCTCGGCTCTACGCCTAGCCACATGAGGCCCCTCCATTCACTTTGGATATAATAGATTGTTGTGGGAGTAGGATTCTCTTCCCTTCAAATCCCCTCCCCTTCCCTCATTTCATTTTCCTTTGTCGGTAAGTCAACACAAAAAGTTAACGTGACTTAATAATGACCATTTATGAGAGGATGGGTAGGAAATTTAGAGGGGAAATAATCTTAATCCATTGTTGTGGTACTATTCTGCTCATATGTGCTTTAATTCTCTTTTTTAGGTTTTGACCTTCAAGTACCATTAACGAAAACAGAGAGCAGATACAAAACTAGATTGATGTACAACCTGTAGCCATGTATAGATTGATAGAGAAACTCATTACACGAAGGAGTCTAAATATGCTTGTAATAATCTCCAAATACAAATCGTTACAACATCTAAGTACATCTTAGTGATGCTTAATTACGATCATCGTTTCTTAAAGCCATATTTCTTGCGTTCGTAAAAGAGGTCGGTTTTCGCACTACCTAAATTCACAATCTTTGGACATCCATCCCTATCCTTCTCCTGCTGCGTACACTCTTTGCAATAGTAGGCATCGGAAATTCCAACCCCGCCGCAGATTACACACCGGCCTTGGAAAGATCCGTAGTTGCATTCATCACAAACCCTCACAAGCGTGCAAGGACGGACGTAGGAGTCGCAGACCACACACTTGCCATCACACTTCTCGCAAAGCCGTCCAATGGCGATCCCTGGTTGTTTCCGGCACATAATCAGATCAGGGTGATGTTTGGCCATACCTCACTTTGTAATGATCTGCAGACATCAGACCAACGTTGAATGGGGTTAGTATTTGGACTTGGAATTGATAAAAATAAAGAACATGAACACTAATATATTCTTGTCGTGCAGTCTAATCTAACCGATCATGTTAGCGTATATACGATATATGTTGTGAACTTAACTGAACCGCGATCAAACATATTGTGTTGTAGACTGTCAATAGTTCGTTGGGACAATGCCGAAAGATAGAATAAAAACCATTGCCCAAGCACATAACCATAAATACCGCGAGCTCTATGCAAACAGAACATATTAAATAATACATGAGCATCAATCAAACTTCCACCTAAAGAAACAAATACATGAATTGTAACAAACCAAAACATGATAATTAATAATTCCTGTCACGCAGTCTAATCTAACATAATCAGATCGTGTTGTTAGACTGTCAATTCTTCCATTAATATATCATGACATGAATAAGTTCAATGATCTACCAAGTTGCATTGTCAGACTCACTAACTCATTCGACCAACACCAACATGGTCTAATATAACACAATATAAATATGAAAGACAATCTACCAACCATGTTTCGTTGTCAGTCTGTCAAAAGTTTTTCCCATCAACACCGACTAACCTAACACTCATGACCACGAATACAGGTATTAACGAGAGCGCATTAAACAAACATGAACCATCTATCATCAACTATCAAGCTTCATAACTGATGACAAAAATCAACAAAAAAAAAAAAAAAAAAAAAAAAAAAAAAAAAAAAAAAAAAACTAAAAGAAAGTAGTACACGGACAACGAACAGAAAATTCACCTAAAAATTTCTAAAATCTAATAAGAAACTATGAAGGAAAAACAAAAACCAAAATCAATTGTTTTCCTTGTTATAGGAACCTAATCAAATCAAATAAATTAACCTCACAAAACGAAGATAATGAGCATATATCATACAAGTGTTTGTCACAGGAGGCTAACCTGCGCCGCAGAAGGCAAGTTCAGGTATCCTCTAACTTCTCCGAGATGCAAACTCGCGCCGGGAGTAAAGAACTCGAGCAAAACTAAAGCCGGACGCCGTTCTGCTCTACCTCTGTATAAGGGAAAAGAGAAGCGGTTGATGTTTCAAGAACAATCCAGGCTTTCAAGTCGGTAGACTCGGTACTAAAAGGGGCCCACTATGAATGGTTGTCAAAGGAAAACGATCCTCGCCAGATTTAGTAGTTCGCTACAGGGGCCTATAACATTTTAGGTAACGACAAAAAATAATTATGTTTATGTACTATGATGTAAAATTGATTTTATTAATTTTTTTTCTTCTTTAACAATTAATTATTTAATCCATTAACGGTATAATATTTAAAAATATTGTAAGAAATTTACGGAGTTTCGCGTTTATAATCAAAACCATTCATATTATGAATCATTATGTAAAAATCATTTCTGGAAAGAAAAAAAAAAAAGATAAGATACAGTTAACTTGAAGGAGTCAAATAGAATTCAAACTACTTATTCTATATTACGACATTTAATATAACGATATATTTACATTAAAAAGTAAAAAAATAAATTACTATCGAATTTGCTATTCAAATATATATAAAATATGACAGTAAATTCAACAATCGGGCAAGCAAAGTAAATACCTTGTGTGAATTTTTCTATCCCCAAAGACCTTATAATTTGTTAATCTATACTACTTTTTTATTTTTGACAAACAATGGCGTTAGTTGATTAAATTGTTAGTTGTTAAGAGGAGTGGAGATTGGTGTGATAAATCTGCAACATGGTGCATAAACATGATTACTCTCTATAAAGTTCCATATTCTATATATATCATCTATTAATGAAACTTAACGTTAACCAAAAACCAATAATAATACTATTATAACCTTCCATGCATAATTGAAAGAGAATATTAGGAAAAAAATCATGAGCATTAAAGAAATTTCGCAAGAAAAAAAAAATGTGAGTTTTTTTTTTCTTTTCTCATTCACATGTCATCAAGGCATACGAAGTTCCTAATTCGTAAAAGAATAACGTTAAGCAGACCAAATAATGTGACACCAATCAAATTTGTAATTTAATCTAAGTTGGAATTTTATTAATTATTTTAATAAAAATATATATAGTGTAGGCGCATCACATTATTTAGTGCATGAATTTGGTGTATTAGTACCACCCTTTATTGCTTCCCCTTCTCTCTCTTACCAAAAACACCAAAACCTCTCTCACAAACCACACCCAATCAGCCGCCGCCCCTTGCGCCTGTTTAGTATCGGCGGTAGTACCACTGCCCCTCCTTTTATTCACCCTCCTCTCTTCTCCTCCTATCCCTCCTTCCTAAAAAGCCACCACCTTCCCCTGGTCTGCCCTTAATCATCGTCTCTGGTGACAATTTTATGCGTCGGTAGCATGCATCCTCAGCATTTATCGCAGCTTCTTCGGCATTTATCGTTATTTATTTTTTACTGCTTGTATGTTATTTAGTTTTCCACACTTCCACTCCTCAGACCGTGCCCTTTCAAATCTAAACTTCCATCTCCCCCCACCCTTTCCTTCTACCTCATTTCCTCATGTAATCCATCCCACCCCATCCTTTGCTCCAATCTACAAGCTCCGAACTGAAAATGGATTCCTCCCTCTCTTCCCCTTCCCCAACCGGCATGCCAAAATTCCATCGAGACCAAGTGTTCTTTCATGCATTAGTGTAATTGATGGCTAGACTTGTATGACTAAATTCTGACAATCATAATTTAACCGTTCAAACTCAGATGCATCCAATAGTTTCAACATCTTGGTTAAACATTGAGTAGTAAAAATAGCACATGAGCACAGGCAGAACCATGACTGATTTAGGACTTAGGAGCCACCTTTCCAATCCATCATTTTGTCAATCTCTTTTTTCATAGATTTTGTCTAGGGTCAGATAATGGACCCTAGGACACCTGTCGGCACCAAAATATATAGAAACAACATCCTGGTCCCACTTCCAGAGTAAACAAATGGCCCTTCGTCTCACTATAAAACGGTTACTGTCCCATTCTCTTGGCTGCTCATTTGCTATAAGAATCAGCCTCCTGCCCAACAACAAGACGATAACCTCCATTGTTCTGAGAAAAAAATGGCTTCTGAATCCTACCCTCCTCTGTTCCGTTCACACATAGATTCAACCCAGGCCGCTGATTCGGATGACCAAGTCAACCCAGTTCATGATTTGGAGGATCCGATTCCTCTGGTGGATCTCCAGAGCCTGAAACTTGGGGAGGCATGTGAGTATTGGGGCATTTTTCGTTTGGTCAACCATGGAGTTCCTCCAACCCTTTTGACCCAACTTGAAGAGCATGCCAAAGCGGTTTTTTCCCTGCCGTTTGAATCCAAACAGAGCCTTATCACCAGCCCTCTGTCCTACTTCTGGGGTACCCCTGCCCTTACTCCATCTGGGGCAGCCTTATCAACAAAGGGTACTAGTACCCTCCAGAATATCAATTGGGTTGAAGGACTGAATGTCCCTCTAGCTCAACTCAGTCAATTCCAAACTGACAATCCCACAGTTGCTTCTTTCAGGTACATTTCTTTTCATTCATTGGGCTGTAAAGCATGGTTTGGAAATTTTGACCCCATTCGATTTTGTTTCTAATGTATATACATTGCATTGGTTGGGTGATTGTTTGGTGTAGTAGAAGGTGTAAAGTTGGTGTAAAATGATTATTTACATGTAAAGGTACTACGATATTTTGAAGAAAAATAAGAAAATTGTCTAGATAAAAAAAGATGAGCACTTAGTTTTACCTTTAAGAAAAATGGTCTCGTCTTTTCTTCTTCTAATTGATTTCTCTAATTTTCATTTAAAATATTGTGTTGCCGCTACAATTAAGTAGTCACTTCTCTAGATTATAATGTCACACATATACTAAAGCATATGATAAATTTTTCAAAAAAATATTTCTTTCATCTCACGAGTCTTGTGCTAGTTCTATGAAATCATATAATTAAGAAATTTATTTTAACTGAGAATTACAGTTCGACACACAAACGATAATATTTCTTTACGTTTATACATGGACTTGTTTAACAAAGGGTATAATTTCTCTGTGTCTCAAAAGCCTTGTGCTGGAAGAATATGGGAAACACCTAGCCAGGCTAGCCACAACTATATTTGAAGCTATGGTAAAAAGCCTTGGATTGGATCCAATAGAATCCAAATCCCACTTATCCAATCCCACTGGCCTTGTACGTCTATATCGCTACCCACCACATTGCTCCAACTCTGCATCTGCATCTGCATGGGGCATGGACGTCCACACTGACAGCTCTGTGCTCTCGATACTAAACCAAGATGATGTCGGTGGACTCGAAGTTCTCAAAGACACCGAGTGGTTCAATGTAAACCCAACTCCCAGCACACTAATTGTCAACCTCGGGGACATGATGCAGGTCATATGATTAAGCATAAGTAACTACTTAGGTTTTGCTAAGCTCCGTTGGTTGTGCACGCGTGAGCGATTTATGATCATAAATGAGACGTAAGCTTCATTTTTGGTCAAAATCGCACATGCGCGAAGACGATTGACTGTAGTATGGCTCTTGTTTGTTTGATGAATATTTGTTGACGGAATTTGTGCTTCGGTTTTAGGCGATAAGCGACGACAAATACAAGAGTGTGAAGCACAGAGTGAAGGTGAACAGAAGCAAAGAGAGAATTTCAATCTGCTACTTTGTGTTTCCTGGAGAAGGCAGTGTGATTCGGAGCTCAAACTACAAGCCCTTTACATATGGTGACTTTCAGAAGGAAGTGCAGAAAGATTTAAAGAGTGTTGGGTATAAGGTTGGGCTCGAGAGATTCAGAGCTTAGTGAGGAGGGTTTGTTAATTGATCATGTTAAATGGGCCATAACTGTATGTTTGTAAGCTATGCAGAGAAAAATGTGGGTTCCAAGGAAATCACATTTTTTGTTTAATCTTTTATTTTATTTTTTTCTTTTGTGTTCATTTACTTTGGGCATTTGGGCTTTGTGTTAATGGTCTAATTAACTTAAAGCATCTCCAATAATGAAGTTTAACTTTCTGCTAAAATGGCTGATGAACAGTGTGTAAAAATTAAAATAATTATTCAGTTTAACTTATCATCTCCAATAACATTTTTTTTTATCAATATTTTGTTATTTAAGATAATTTAACTTTTTAATACTTTATTAATTAATAATTCAAATAAATAATTAACCCCAACGATTCTATTGCTTTCTAGAACCACTTTTCTTTGTTTTTTTTTTTTTCCCGTTAAGTTCACTTTCTTTTTTAAAAATGAGTTTTAACGAAAAGTCCACGGTACTGTACTTTAACGAAAAACCACATTTTAACACTAAAAAGTCAATCCTAATACTATTCACTTTATCCTTTATTTTGTCTTTATCATTAAAACTCAAAATTTTCAAGTCCTTTTCATTAGTTTTCCTTTTTTATAACTCAAAGTTTTCAAGCCATTTTCATTAGTTTCATTTTTTGGAAGTTTTAACGAAAAGTTCGCGAGTCCTTTTCATTAGTTTCCTTTTTTGGAAGTTTTAACGAAAAGCTCGCGATACTGTTCATTTTAACGAAAAACCACATTTTTACACTAAAAAGTTAATCCTGATACTATTCACTTTATCCTTTATTTTGTCTTTATTGTTAAAACTCAAAGTTTTCAAATCATTTTCATTAGTTTTCCTTCTTTTTTTTTTTTTTTTTTTTTTTTTTTTTTGTGTTTGTTTCAAGTTCTCTTTCCTTTTCCCTTCTCCCTTTTCTTTGTTTTTTTCCGTTAAGTTCTCTCTTTCCTCATGCTAAATCTAGTGAGAGACTGATCGTCTTGGAAATGAGATTTTGTGATTTTTTTTCGTTAAAACAGCCAAACAACCTTGTTTAGCAAGGCTGTTGGAGATGCTTTTGATGTTTATTATTTAAGATTTTGGTAAAAGTATGATTTTAGTCCATGTAGTTTGGATAAAGTTTCACTTTAGATCATTTAGATCATGCAGTTTGAAGTGTCGCGATTTAAAGTTAATTTGGACACGCTATGAACTTACTTTCAACTCTGCAATTGGCCGTTGTTTACTTTATATGTAATTGTTGGATTTGTTTATTCAATTAAATAAATCACAATATTTAATTAACTCAAATTAGGGTGTTTGATTAAGTAAATATCTCTTAATTTTTTTGTAGTAATTAGAGAAAATCAAAATGAAATATTCTTGTGAATTTTCGGGGCATATCCCTTTTTTTGGTCCCTCTTCAACCATAATATTAAAATGGTTTTCTCTCTCTTTGTTGACAATATAGGGTAACACATCGATCCGAAAACAACTGAGAACATATGTATATAGGCAATCTAACCGACTGGATTAGATACAACTGAATCCTCATCATGATTACTTTTTCACTTTTCACTCGTAGTTCAAGCAAAAGATCATAGGAACGAAACAGTAATCCGAAATTTGTTAATTCTGAGGTATGTCTTATAATGAGTGTTTTTTTTTTTTTTTTTTGTTCTCTTGTGTATTTTTCCAACATTAATTATACTTGATGCATGCCACTCTACTTTCCTTCGTCACTCAATGTTACCACGTTTATGGGCGATCAAATTTTTTTGCGTCTTGTTGATTAAATTTAGTAATGAATTTTCTCATAAGTCCCCTCATTTTGTTGTGTATACATCTCAAAAAATATACATTCGCAAACAAAACAAAATTGAAGATGATAAAATTTTACATATTGTTTAATTGGTCATTGTTCAACAGTGACTTGAAAATTTTCAACAATAAATTCTGGCACTGACACTACCAGATTGTGAGTTATGTGCAATGGGTCTAAAATATAAATGTTCCTATGCTTACAGTGTATTTGCAACCAATTTGTGGCTTAATCCAAATATATTGAGAAAAATTTGGTAGCTTTCCTTAAAACCTTTACTAAAATTATTTAATCTAAATTTCCCAACAGAATTTTTTCATCATAAGATAAATTAAGCATTTCATGCGCTATAGAATGAGGGAACATAGCTTCATCATGCAATTCCTATATTTGCCTTGATGCATGTTTCGCATTTGTTGTACACTCACAAAATTTATTTATTGTGCAACTCTTAGTCCTGTCATATGCATGATCTCCACCGCATGTTCAACATGGAAACATCATGAAACATAAGCGAGTTTGACTACACATCAAAGTTCAATCTTCGTATGACTATAATTGAAATATAAATGCTAAGCGGATTTTCTTAAAATGCGATTTTTTTATGAACTCTTTGGCACCAACAGTTTAACATCAATTCTCATGTCAACATATAAAATCTTGTGTCAAAAGCGTGAAGTGTTACAGAGTCTATGAAAAGTCCCACCTCTGAGGAGAAAATTTTCATTGTAACCGGAACACAAATGGTACATTATGTGTTTTTATATAAGTGATGAGAAATTTTATTTTTTAAGTTATTAATTTTTTAACACACATATCACATCATTTGTATAATGACACGTGATGTACCACTCCGTGTTCCGATCACACTAAAAAATCTATCACTTTTGAAAAAGTATCCTTAGCATTTCTCTATTTGAGAATGGTTAGACTTTGTTTTTTATGTTCACGAAATGAGTTCAAATCTTTTGAACTTATTTTGTATATGGCATCTTTGTAGTCCATTTAATTTTTTGACACATGTTTCAGAATGTAACACCATTTGACTTTGTCAAATGTCTTGAATGTTATATTAAAAATAAAAACAAAAGGTAAACAAAATAAGAAGTCATGACCCAATCCTGAAAACCACCACCGGTCGACAACACCTATGTTGCACAAACAGGGATGCGGCGACACACGACATGGCGATACGGGGACCCAACAAATTTCAAAATATAAGAACACAGATACAGTTAGGATACGACGATTAAAATATAATAAATATTACATATATTAAAAACAATACTTCGAATTCATAATATATCAAATTATTACTCATTTCTCTAAATAAATTAAGCAACAAACTAGGTTCAGGTCGGGGACTCGTTTAGGTTTTGTATTCAATATTTCTAAAATGGCCCCAAATATTTTTTCAATTTACAAAAAGGTCCATGCCTATCTTGATCGTGTCTAAGTCGTGTCCGAAAGGTGTCGATATGTTGAACACTCCGACACTTCAAGTTTTAGAATGTGCGTGCAACCTAGGGTCACAACACCCCCTTTCTCCCTCCATCCAATTCCTTCAAATTGAACTTGTAGGGCGATTTTCCTCTACTAAAGTACATGGACCGAAACGACTCTTATTTTCCTCTACTAAAGTGCATTGACCGGGAGAATCACGCGGGAGATGTGATGGATGGGATCAATTCGTCGGGGGTGGCGGAGGCCCAGGTGGCGGCTGTCGTCAGAGTCGATGCAGCGCCGCAAGACCTAGCGCATACAACCTAACATCCAAACTAGTTTATGGGTTTTGAATTTTTTTTTTTTTGGGAGGGAGAATAATAAATTGGAGAGTACCGAGTACCTCGGCTACTCCTTTTTTATTTTATTATTTTCCCATTTTATTTAGAGATTTTTTTGTTAAGTTAGTCGATAAGTGTCAAGATTATAAGTAAGCTACAGAAGTTACATACGTAAATAGGCGTAGAAGATTTTGGTTAGTTGGTGGACAAGTGTTAAGATGTGAACTTAACACAAGTATAATAAGTTATTTTCAGCTGTATGAGTCAAACATGATACCCATTGATTATAAGAGAAGAAATATATTATTAAACTGCAACGCGCTCAAATCTCCTGCACTCACTTTGTGAGTGACCTTTATCTTAATTAACATGTATTAAATTTATGATAACAAAAATAAAGAATATTTATATCCCAACCGTCCCAAATTGATTTTTATTTATGTGAAAACATTAACTTGCGATTCTCGACCGCAGTAGACTTTGATTTTCATTAAAACATTCTCAGTCAATGCCTCTCCTTTTTTGTTTCCTTTTCCCCTGACCCCCTAATCCGTGCAAGTCAATCCGACGGCCACAGACTCATGGCGAGAATCCCTAACCCATAACTCCCACACCAACGGTCCAAAACTGACGGGCCAACGCCACACCCTTCCGCCGTGCTCCTCACCGCACCTGATCATCCATCTTTTCCGAAATTGATCTGCTAGAGAAGGACCGGTACGAAAGAGATGGAACGACGAAACAAATGGAATGCCGCCACGTCAGAAATTCGTACATACGGAGATGACGTGGAGGAAAATTAAAGCGGGAACAGAGAAATTTATAGTGGTTGCAGTGGCAGAGCATCAGAGTCTCAGTCTCTAGTTCTGAGTCTGTTACTTGGTGCCAAAGCAATACGAGGAGAGAGAGAGAGAGAGAGAGAGAGAGTGATAAGCCCAATAGAGCGAGAGAGAAGGGAGACTCCAATTTCCAGCGAAAATTTTATTTCCAATTTTCCCAAATTTCGAAAACCCAAAAAGCATTCTCTCTCTCTCACTCACTCTCTCAACCATCAGCTCTCTCTCTGGCTCTTCAATGGCGGTCATGGAGCTCGAAGAGCCCAAAAAACGAAAACGCAGGACTCACAATCGACGAAAGCTTCTCGTTGGTGCCCAAGTTGAGGTAATGCCACCATCTTCCAGCCTTTTTGTTTCTGGGTTTTTCAGAAATTCGAGTTTTTGGGCTGTGATTCTCGTCTATTTTGGGGATTTTTTATTTTCTGATTTTTTTTATGGGTCAATTCGAATTTTTTGATAGTTTATGAAGTCAATTAAGCTGATTGTTGAATGTTTTGGACTCGAAGAGGCATGCATGGTGGCCGATTGCACTGGTTTTCTGTAAAATGGGTTTTTTTCTTTATTTGAGTTATTTTTGTTTTTGTGGGGAAGAAGACTGGTAGATGATGTGGTCCAATCTGGGAACCAATGCATTTTCTTAAACGGCTGAGATTGAAAGACTGATTTGGCCTGGTAGAGCATCCAAGTAAAAATTTGGGTGTGTTTTTTGTTTTTTTTTTTTCTATATTTGGTTTTAATTTTAATTTTTTGCTGGTCTTTTTTGGGAAATTT